TGGCAAAGAAGAATGGGCGCTTACGCCTGGTGCTTGACTGTCGAGCCATCAACGAGAGATTTCGGGAGCCCCCTCCGATGTTGCTTGCAGCTGGTTCCTCGTGGTCCCAAGTTGAGATTCCACATGGTGAACACCTTCATGTGGCCCAATCTGACATCAAGGATTACTTCTATTCGCTCAGCCTTCCACTTGAGCTTCAGGATTTCTTTTGTCTGCCGGCCATCCCTGCGCAGGCCATGAGTGACTGGTCGGTTGGGCCTATGCTTTGGGATGGTTTTTCCAAGGAAGGCCTGGTTTTCCCGTGCTTCAGGGTTGTTCCTATGGGATGGAATTGGGCTATGTATTGGGCGCAGCGGGTTCATCAAGTGCAAGCTCTGATTGGATCTGGGCTCTCCCAAGACCGGTTATTGGTGGCTGATCAGCCGTCTCCATCGCTAGCCGGGGGTATTCCTCTTTTGATCGCTTACGCTGACAACTTGAACGTGGCTGGCACATGCCCCAGCCAGGTGCAGGCCGCCAAAGACGGCGCAGTTCAGAGGCTGCGCGCTTTGGGGTTCGGGGTCCACGAGGAGACTGACGCCTGCACCTCAGCAGACTCTCTAGGCTTCAGGCTTGACGGAGTTTGCGGCGTAGTGACCCCCATTCCTCAAAAAGTTGGGCTTGTTGCGGCTGCTTTCAGATGGCTGCAGAGACGGCCTAGAATCAGCGGCAAAGCATTTGAGAAATTATTGGGTCACGCGGTACATTTCATGATGCTCAGGCGCGAACTGTTGTCATGCATGAGGAACTTGTACGACTTTGTGCAGCATTCATACAAGCAGAAGCAGAGGTTGTGGAGATCCGCTGCCCGTGAGGCCGCGTGGGTTGCCAAGCTTTTGACAATATGCCACGCGAACCTTCGTAGGCCCTGGTCAGATCAGGTCACTGCTTCCGATGCTTCACTTAGCGGGGTTGCTGTTTGTACAAGGGAGGCTCAGGTGACCGAAGTTGCAGGGATCGCCAGGCAGAAGGAGAGCTGGCGTTTCAAGGCGCGCGATTTTGTCGCGCCCCGTGAAAAGGCGCTTGGTGACAGACTCGAGCAGATTGACCCCTTCTCGGACATTGCTTCAGTTAAGCCTATTGGTTGTCTTCCTGTGGACCCTTTTGCCATCAACATTGATTTTGCTGAGATTCCTGCCACTTTCATGCTGCCAGAAGAATGGGCAACGAACTTTGCAACCAGGATGGTGATTGAAGAACCAATCACTGTCTTGGAAGCTAGAGGGGTTGTTGCTGCTTTCAGGCATAAAAGCAGGGCTCTTCGCAATTTTGGCAAGCGTCATCTTCATTTGAACGACAACCTTGCCAATGTGCTATGTGCAGAGAAGGGGCGCTCAGGCTCATTCGCAATGTTAGTTGCTTGCAGACGCCTGTGCGCCCTCGCCATTGCGACCAATTCTGCCTTCTATCACCGCTGGGTTCCAAGCGAGAGGAATCCCGCTGATCATGCTTCGCGCAGATGGGAACCACTCCGTGTTTTCCAAAAAGAGAAAGTGTCCAGCTGGCGAGCCGGAGCTGGCCAATCTGGAATGCAGTTTCCTCAAGGCAAGCCCCAGGGCGCCAACCACGGCAAACACCTTGAAAGGCAACAAACCCTACAATACGCAAGAGTCTACAAGCAGGCTCCAAGGACGAGAAGTCTGTGAAGAGGCAGGCGCTGCACACAAATGCTTCCCAACCTCGTTTTCCTGGTCAGACATTTCTGGAGCAAGTGGCAGTGTCCCACGAGGTTGCCCTGGACTACCAGAAGCGGATGTCCAAGTTCATGAGTTTTGTCAAAAAGGAGAAGCTGTCAACAAGACGGCCGGAGAAGTTGGACGAGTCCTTGAGCGCATATCTCAACTCCATTTTTCTGGAAGGAGGCGACATTTCAGAAGGAAGCAAGAGTTTTGCTGCCGTGTTGGATGCCCGGCCAGATTGTTCCCACAAGAGTCTTCTGCCCAGATCGCGCAGATGCTTGAAGGGCTGGGCCAATTTAGATCCGGGGGCCGCGCGGCCGCCGATCCCATTTGCTTTGATCACCTTGCTAGCCACGCAAATGATTCAGAAGGGCCTGCGCGAGTCGGCCCTTTTAGTCCTGCTGATGTTCAGCGCGTACCTGAGACCGGGGGAGGCGCTCAGCATACAGGCGCAGGATGTGGTGCGGCCCACCAAGACCGTGCGGTCCTTCGCCATCAACCTTCACCCAGCGGAGAGATTGGAGTCGAGCAAGACGGGGATGTCGGACGAAGCCATTTTGCTGGACTCTCTTACGCTGCCGCAGCTGGGGCCCATGCTCGGCCGCTTGGCCAAGGCAAGGGGAAGGGGCCAGCTCTTCAGCGTGAAGTACGCAAACCTGAGGTCGCACTGGGAGGAGGCCTTGAAGGCAGTAGGGCAGACCAAGAACTTTGCGGTTCTTTATCAGCTCCGCCACTCGGGCCCATCTGAGGACCTCGCTGGAGGTCAAACTCCGGGCACAGCAAGCTTGGGCAGGAGTTTCAGCAGCTGCCGGAGGAGGTCCAACACCAGGCTCTGCGCGCAGAGCAGCAGATTGGCCACCTGATGTCAAGGTTCTTCCGAACGTGAAACAGGGCGCCTTCAAGTGGGTCATCGAACTTTTCTCTGGCTCTGGACACCTCTCTCGGGCTTGCTGCGATGCTGGATTTGCTGTCCTGTCCTACGACATCCGCTTCGGGCCTGGATGTGTTTTTTTGCGGCCGATGCCTTTGCGAGACAGTGGCTCTGGCATCTGCGGATTACTCTGCTTCAATTCGCAGCGCAGGTTGGCAAGTTTTGCCACTTGCATGGCGTCGCATGGGTGCTTGAGAACCCATGGTCGTCACTAGTGTGGATGTCGAATGACCTTCGGGCTGCGCAACCATTTGCCAACCTGTTGCGATGCGACTTTTGCCAGTACCGCATGCCTTGGAGACGCTCCACTGGTTTACTTGCTTTTCCGTGCGAATGGCTGCAACCAGTTCTCAAGACATGCAGTCTCGAAGCTGGCAGGTGCTCTGCAACAGGGCGCAAACATTTGCTTTTGCAAGGCGCAGATGCCCGCGGTCAGTTCTTTACTTCGCGTGCCCAGCCCTACCCGCTACCCCTCTGCCGTGCAATTGCACAAGCCTTAGCAGAACAGACGCTGTGTCTGGATTTGGGATGCTGAACTTTGGATTTTGGCCTTGAAAACTCCTTGGCCTCTCTGAGATCCTGCAGGTTCTCATGCCACATTCCTGTGTGTCTTTTCATTATCGAGCTTTGAGCATCGTGCACAAATGCGAGGCGCTGGCATTGGGAAGTGGGAATCATGATTTGTGCTTGCACTTGAATGATGCGAGCATGAGAAATGCCGCCAATATGTATCTCTCAAGATGTCAAGCGGGCCTCCGCCCACCCCAGCCTCCAGCTTCGCCACTAAGTGGGGATGCTGAACTTTGGATTTTGGCCTTGAAAACTCCTTGGCCTCTCTGAGATCCTGCAGGTTCTCATGCCACATTCCTGTGTGTCTTTTCATTATCGAGCTTTGAGCATCGTGCACAAATGCGAGGCGCTGGCATTGGGAAGTGGGAATCAATGTAATGTAATGTAAGTAATGTAATGTAATGTAATGTAATGTAAATGTATGTATGTATTATGTAATGTAATGTAATGTAATGTAATGTAATGTAATGTAATGTAATGTAATGTAATGTAATGTATGTATGCAAAATGTATGTATGTATGTATGTATGTATGTATGTATGTATGTATGTATGTATGTATGTATGTATGTATGTATGTGTATGTATGTATGTATGTATGTATGTATGTATGTATGTATGTATGTATGTGTATGTATGTATGTATGTATGTATGTATGTATGTATGTATGTATGTATGTATGTATGTATGTATGTATGTATGTAATGTATGTATGTATGTATGTATGTATGTATGTATGTATGTATGTATGTATGTATGTATGTATGTATGTAATGTATGTATGTATGTATGTATGTATGTATGTATGTATGTATGTATGTATGTATGTATGTATGTATGTATGTATGTATGTATGTATGTATGTATGTATGTATGTATGTATGTAATGTATGTATGTATGTATGTATGTATGTATGTATGTATGTATGTATGTATGTATGTATGTATGTATGTATGTATGTATGTATGTATGTATGTATGTATGTAATGTATGTATGTATGTATGTATGTATGTATGTATGTATGTATGTATGTATGTATGTATGTGTATGTATGTATGTATGTATGTATGTATGTATGTATGTATGTATGTATGTATGTATGTATGTATGTATGTATGTATGTATGTATGTATGTATGTATGTATGTATGTATGTATGTATGTATGTATGTATGTATGTATGTATGTATGTATGTATGTATGTATGTATGTATGTATGTATGTATGTATGTATGTATGTATGTATGTATGTATGTATGTATGTATGTATGTATGTATGTATGTATGTATGTATGTAATGTATGTAATGTATGTAATTCATGTATGTATGTATGTATGTATGTATGTAATGTATGTAATTCATGTATGTATGTATGTATGTCTGTCTGTCTGTCTGTATGTATGTATGTATGTATGTATGTATGTATGTATGTTTGCTCCCCAGTATTTCCTGCGTTTTCGCAATGAGGACGTCCAAAAACACAGAGTTTTCCAGATTTTCGGCAACAGGAGGCAGGAAGCCCAAGCCAGCAAAAAAGCCGGCAGGGGGAATCGCGCCTGGGACCCCTGTTTTGCGACACCGGCTCCCCGAAGACTACGTTTAGTGGAACGTCATCAAATTGCCGCGCGGTCGGAGGGGGAGGGTGGGGGGTGTGCGACCGAAAAACCCTGCGTAATTGACGTGTCCTGGGGGGGGACTAAGGGGGGGGTTATCCTCTATCCTCTCTTAGGTATCCGACACGCCGAACAATCCAAGCCTATCAGAAAAGTCCACTTGGAGGCGTTCCAGGCGTCCTTGGAGCTCAACGTCAAGCTCGGCCGCGCTGGCATCTCCTTGATCGACGAGGGCCCCCCGAAGCCCAGGCGGAGCGTCAGCAATGGCAAGCGTGAGAAGCGACAGAGGGTTGGATTGGCTTGGGAGGGACTCGGTATGACTCAACAACCCTCGGTTGACAAAGAATCACCAAATGCATATTATGGAGTTTTATGTCAATCATGTCTGACGACATTGTTCCCTGCATTGAGAGCGCGATCTGCATCTCGCATTGCCCTGTTCAGGGAGCTCTTCTTCTTCTCCTTGGACATGCTGCGCTTGGAGTATTTGCAGGCTTGGCCACCCAGATAAGTTTAGTCGTGTGTGTGCCCCAGAAATTTCCCCTTGCTTCTTGGAACCAAAGCCATCTCATACACCAAGTTCGTGGTCACATGAACATACAGCATCCGCAGAGGCTGTGGAAATCAAGGTTTGGAGGGATGGCGTGGAATAGCAACCGCGAACGGCAGGATGCAGCGAGGGATGCTGAGAAGATAACCATGTCCATCTCCGAGGCACCGAGTGCGGCCATGTTGTGACATGTGCGAATGCTGAAGCTTAGCAGAACCAGAGCCTCACAAGAGGACCTTTTTCCAAATCATCCTTATTGCGGTGCGTGCTTTGGCGCTGGTTGAGTTGGGCAATAGTGCAGGCTTCTCCCTTACTGTTCTTCCTGCACATGCTGTTGAAAGGAGCTGCCTTCGTGTCACATGCTCTAAGGGTCACAATGACAGCCTGAAAGGCTGAAAGGCGGCCTGACAGGTCCAAAGAAACCCCTTGATGACTGGCGGTCGACGTGAGCTGCAGGTGCAGGCCATTTGCCAACTCCCTGGGCGGAGCGACGGCAAGGACAAAGTGGGATGCGGGCTAAACCACAAAGCACGCTGCTGCAATATAATATTTGGGATCAGCTGAGCTGAGTATTACCCTTGCAGTATTACTGTTAAAACCCTCCTGGCCCCGTGCCCAAATTGGGAAGCAGTTCTGAGGTCCGTGTTTGTGTTGCTTACCAGGTTCCATTGATCGCCATTTGGCTCAAGACACGATTGAGGTTCAAGATCTTATGTGTAGCTGCGTTCATACGTGATCGGCAATTGAGAGCGGAAAACACTTCGCCTGCGCTGCATTTGTCAGGACCACTGTTGTAACTATTATTCCTTCTCCCTTACAACATTTACACGGGTTCGGCTATAACGGTTTGACCGTATACACCTTTCTACGTGGTTGGTATTACAGCTGGAGGGTTCGGTGGACAGCGTCCCACGGGACGTCACCTTGCCGTCTCTTGACAGGTTATCAGCCGTATCGACAAGCTCTACACTGGACAGAGAGACAGCTGGTTTATTGCGGGTACAGGGACAATAAAGGAACAATAACCTACACAGTACAATGGCATCTTCAGCGAGCCCAAGTACTGCAACTTTTGGGAACAGCAGCTCAGAGGGATCCAATGGATTGATGGCTCTTCCTGCGGTGATGGATATGATCGCAGATTCACAGGATGAACCTGGGAGCGGAGGATCCGCGCTATTCAGCGACATATCCACTCCCACAAGATCATGGAAGCAGATCGATGTTCATCAGGAGTCGAAGCAAAGAGAATCCCCGCCGAGAAGATCGTCATCTTCGCCTGCGACACCACGGACGTCGCAGAAGGGCGTGAGGTCAACATCAAAAGGTGGGAGGTCAAAATCACCCACCAGTGCTGAGTTTCGCGCCGCGATTAAGGAAAAGAACAAGATGGAGATGGAGATCGGGGAATATCAAAAGACACTTGATGAAATGTCGGCAGCGATGGCGAATCTTCATCAAGAAGACTATGGGAGCACTATCCGGATCCAGGAGCTGGAAAGACGATGCGAGATTGCCAGCAAGCAGTCGGGACATCTAGTGAGTCACCACCAACACCACATGGCTGAGGCATGGCGCAAGTTTGAGGAGGAAGCCCAACAGATGCGCAAGGTGGAAATGAACGCATATCAGTACGGGGAAAAGAAAGACATGGAGTCGAATGTTATAATGCAACAGATGAGACAAGCTGAAGGAACTATTATGGAGCAGAAGCGGGAGATTGCGTGATGAAATCCTACATGGCAAGCGAGAAGTCGGCCGCGCAGGAATCAGCTATACATGCAAATCAGATACACCGTGAAGCTTCGCAACAAATATCAGTTTATCAGCAACAGATCAGAGGCATCGAATCGTCTACATCTATCGAGAAGTTCAACGAGGAGGAGATGGTCCAAAGCCTAAAATCACAGTTGGAGCACGCACTCGTCAAACGCCCCGAGACGTACTCTATGGAGGACTCCAGGGAACAGCTGATGGCGAGACTGAACGACGTTACAATATTCGCGGAACAAGAATCGAAGAGAGCAGATTGCTTACTTCGTGAGAAGGAAGAGATCGTCAAACAGTATGAATCCGACGTGTCGATGAAGGACCAGATGATTGCTATCGAGGGTGGTCATCGTCAAGATGCGATCTTGGAGTTAGCCCAGGTCAAAGAAGCAAAACAAGAAGAACGGTGCACGATGGACGAGAAGTCGAAGGAGGCCGAGTACTGGAGATTGACAGCTAAGGGAGTGTATGATGAGTACCTCGAGGAGATGCATGAGCTTCAGGGACAACTGAAGGAAAGGGAGGCGACACTCAAGCAAGAAGAGAGTTTTGTTCGTCAACTTGATGCTGACAACGAGGAACTACGTGCGCTCAAGAAGCTGGAGACACAGGAAGCCTCTAGCAGTAAAGATGGACATCGTGAACGAGCAGTAGTGAAACGCGCTGAGGGAGGACCCCAAGCTAATTCGACTAGGGTAGACAAGAGGGTGACTGTCATCATCATCGAATCTGACCCCTAATTCGTCACTAATGCCAGGTTCGATTCTCTTTCCGTCTTTTGGTGATCCAATGATCGATGTACACCTATCCCAGATGCAAGGGGTTGTTGGGCATGTCCGGACATGCCAAGGGCGATGGAGAAGTTAAGAAGCCCGACCTTCCACATGTGTCAGCTGGGCTACCTGGGGATGGCATCACGTACGTCAACGATGATGGTAAGGAGGTGAAGATCGATAAGGCCGGGAGACCATATCCTGTCGGGAAAGATGGATTCAGGCTAATGAAGACGACGAGACCACCAGAGTACACTCCCGATGAATGGGCAATGATGAGAAAGTACTACACCGAGGAAGAAAAGGCCGAGGTGAAGGGTGGTGGTAAGAAGAAGAAAGACGATCCCAAGAGTAAGGAACCCGAGATTTCTGCGCCGGCAGAGGCACAGACATCGCAGATGCCCGGTGGTAAGAGAATTCGAGCGATGCTTCGAAACCGCTGGGGTGGAGTTGAATGGCAGTACAATTGGGGATTGCGGAAGAACATATCAAAGATCAAGAACCCAATGGATGGGAAACACTTGGCTGAACTTGATTGGGTCAGGATTGTTGTAAATCCTGCTGACGGAGTGGTTGTTCTCATGGATTCCAAGCAATCCCAAGACGTCTTGAGACGAAACGTTCAGCTTGAGAAAGAATTTGAGTGTCTGGTAGTAATTTACGCCTGGAAGTTCAAATCAGAGGAGCGATCAAAGTCGACTCCAAATTGGACGAAGGCAGTTGCATCAGTCATGGAGCGTCAGAAAGACGAAGCTGAGACGACATCGGGGACAGATCCAACGATCGACGAATCGACGGATTTTACCTGGTATGAATGGGAGGAGTCTGCTGAGGTTGTTTCTGGAAAAGTGCCACTCGCGATGCCTGCAATAGGTGAAAACGGTGAAGCCAAGAAATACCCATCGATGCCGTGCGTGACGTCTGAGCGAATACAGCACAGAGAGAAAGCCGTGAAAGTTGTACGATTCTTCGACGCTTTAGTGTCCAGGCCGGTTGGCCGGAAAGAAATGCTGACCAACCCTGATGCGTTGGCATCGATGAAGAAAGAATGGTCGGGATTAATCGACCAGGGCGTCTTCGATCTTGGCGCAGTGCGTGAATATGACGCTGTGGCCAAGGAGGCGAAAGCGAAAGGAGAAGAGATACACATGGCTCGCGCACATGGCATTTGCGTTGAAAAGCACTCACAGTTGCCTGTTGGTGATCCTAAAAGGAAGTTCAAGGGTAGAGGCGTGTTGCTGGGGAACCAAGTGAAGAATCAAAGCTTTGAAGCTGCGATGTTTCAAGATTTGGGGAACTCTCCTGCTTCGTTTGAGGCCTCGCGTTGGGCGGATTTTTTGGGTTGTCATGATGGTTGGGATGTGCAGATGGCCGACGCTGTTCAAGCGTACATCCAGGCCACCTTGAGAGGCACGCCGTGTTGGATTGAATTGCCACCGGAGGCTGTGCCGAGTGAATGCAAATGGGGTAAGCACAGAAGACCAGTCGTCCCGTTGAGGAAGGCGCTGTACGGACACCCAGATGCGGGGACATTCTGGGAGCAGCACTGTGGTGAATCGGTGCGCGCCGTTGGTTTTGAACCCATCGGTGAAGAATGGCCTTCAGTGTACATTCATGAAAAGCTCCAGCTTGTTCTGGTTGTGTATGTCGACGACTTCAAAATGGCAGGACCGCAAAAGAACCTTGCATAGGGATGGAGCATGTTGCGTACACGTTTGAAGATTGAGCCCGAGACTGGACTTGACATGTACCTTGGTTGTAATCAGAGCAAGGGAAACGTCACTCTCGGGAACGGACACCGCGTAACAACGGTGACCTATGACATGGAACAGTTCCTACGTTCCTGTGTCGACCGCTATCTTGAGGTGGCGGGCGATGTAAAATTGAATAAGGTTGTGACTCCTGAGTTGCATGAAGAAACAAAGAATCACGTCTCACGGAAGCCTGCCAAAGAGGGGCCGTCAGTCGTGTGCAATTGGTGTAACAATCTTGTGCCCACCGACGGTTCTGCCACAGTGCCGGACCAGCGGGGAGGGACTCCTGAGTTGGCCATGAAGGAGCCCGTGCGTGGACACCTTGCTCCGCATGCCGCTAGCGTACTAATGAAGTTGCTGTACGGTGCGCGGATTGCTCGCTTCGATTTGTTGCGGCAAGTGAATCGCCTAGCACGGAATGTGCACAGGTGGACTGACTCCGATGATCGGGGTTTGCATCGTTTGATGTGCTATGTACATCATACTAAACATTGGCGCATGGTCGGTTGGGTCGGAGACTCCATGGATGATGTGCACTTGGCCTTGTATGCGGACGCTGACTTTGCAGGATGCGTCGACTCGCTACGTTCCACCTCTGGTGGACACTTGAATATACAAGGGCCTAATACCCGGTTCCCGTTGTCGGGCAGCTCAAAAAGACAAGGTTGTGTCAGTCACTCAACCCCCGAGGCCGAAATAGTTGCGGCCGATGTTGCCATGAGAACGATGGGTATGCCTGCTCTAAAGTTGTTAGAGCGGATTCTCAAGAAGTCACCGAACTTTGTGTTCTATGACGATAACAAGGCTATGATCGGTGTCGTGCGATCAGGGAGAAACCCCACGATGCGCCACCTTGAGAGAAGCCATGGTGTTAGCATTTCGTGGATGCATGAGATGTTCACACGTGATTACATGTATTTGGCGTATGAGGTCACCGACAGAATGGCGGCTGACATCTACACCAAGGCGTTCGATGATGGACGCAAGTGGAAACATGCATGTTTGCAGATTGGTCTACTTGACCCGAGCTTGCTGTCTGACCCGGATACCCTCAAGGCGCTCACACCCGTGTGATCCCATAAAAGGGACCATGCAGACTGCTTCGGGAACGGTTGACGGAGTTCCCACATTTCCGTACACACACATTCCGATCATGCCCCCGGATCTATGGTGGTCCGGATTGACGTCCAAAGAGGGATTG